AAGCTGATTTTTTACATTTTTTGCAATTTAATTTGAAATTTTGAGGTTATGTCAAAAAAAATTTTTCACAATAGTTGTAGATCTGTCAATTATCTACAACTTTTACATTTAACTTTTTTTTATACGATGAACAGATTTTAATTTATTAGCAAAAAATCGTTTTTTGGCCGTTACGCGCTACATAAATTAATATTTTAACAATAATAATTGGAATGGTACCATATTTTAAAAACATGTTTTTGACGTAAAATTTGACAGAGAATGCGATGAAACTACTAAAAACTTGATTCTTTTTGGGGGCGTTTGTTAAAAATCGGTTTTAACAATTAAATTGTTAATAACAATATAAATTTGTTAGTATTTTTTGTAAAAAAAATTTTTTTCTTAAAGTTTCATCCGTCAGCTACAAAAGTGCAATTGGTGATAATTTTGTAGCTCTTAAAGATTCGGAACTATGAATTTAAGAAAATAAGTCTCCGAGCCAAAAAACTTGCCATTCTCAAATGTTTGATCACTTCTATTTTCGAAAATATGCAAAGAAAACAAAATTCCTCTGACACGCATCTCTTTTTTTTCGACATAAAATCCGTAAAAAAAGTTTCAGCCAAATCGAAGAGGTGTCGATCAGACAGGAGTTCGATTTGTAAAAGAATTACCATGTATAGATATACAACTGCGCATGAGTTGGTTCGATAAGCATGTGTCAGCTGATTTGTCTCTATGTACACATCCAACGCCACTCTCTCCTTGACTTAACTACTCTCTTGGGTAAATAGAACGAGCATGCAGTGGAAAAACATTACCTGACTTATCCATTTACAAAAATGATCGATTGACTCGTGTACTTTTATTACTTACAAAGTTATTGTTGTATCTTTTTCGGATTTTGGAAGATGCAAGTCCTCAATAGCTCAGTTGGTTAATGGTTTTATTGGCGTGCAACGTTGATTCAGCTCGATGTCTTCGGGACTTACATTTAATTTTTTCTATTTATATATTTTTTTTTCCCAATATTTATGATAATGAAATTTTTTAAAATAAGATTTTGGATGGGATACCCCTCTAGAAAAAAGCATAAAAATTAATTACAACGTTTATTTGCTGTATTTTTTCCAAAAAGTACAGTCAAAATTCATGGATATTTTTTTTCATTATCACTAATACTGTCCACCACGACTTGACAACTGGAAAATGGTGGTTGTTGACTTTCACTTCTAAGATTCCGTAAGGCATTATAGTATGACTCACTATCCTGCGATAATACTTTTAGAGATAACGTCTTGATGATCCATTCTTTTAACAAACACGCTCTATGTAGTGCACAAATGCGGTGATTATCATGTTTTTTTATACTGTAAGGTAAATCTCGAAGTGGTCGGGGTGGTTTAATTAATGACCGATGACATTTGCGTGTATCGATATCACTGCAACTTCTTTTAGTATAAAATGCCTGTCAGAGTCGTAAAAAACTTGGATGTCTATGACAAAATCCATGATGATGAACCACTACACTTTCTTGTAATATTTATTCTCTCTTCTATTAAAAAATNAAAGAAATTTCAAAAATTCAGAAATTCAGAAAATTGTAAAGATTCCAAATACTTAAAATGTTAAAAATTAAATAATTCAAAACTTACAACTAATTTACTGGTAATTATCACAAAAATTCCAAACTTATGTAGCACGTATTTAGGCACTTATTAAAATGATTAAAATTTTTCTCTCAGTCCATTATATCCTAACTAAATTCTGTTAACACTTTTTTACTAGCATCTGCATGACTGACCACTGACTTAATCACCACTGACTACCACTTTTTCCTCACGCCCTTAGCCACTTCCTACCACTTCAGACTTCACTTCCACTCTCCTCTGTCGTGTATGTCTCTGCTTCCTTAAGGACACCCCTCATCACTGGCCTTATATTGTCCTGTTCAGCCTGTTTCCACTGCCCTCCTTTCTGTCCTCTCTTCTCGCTCCTTGCTTTCCCGGCTCCTCTCTCCTTGGGCGAGCCTCTTCCGTTTGTCTCCCAGTTATACCTTCGAGCTTTCCTTTTGCACTTCTTGCTTCTTGCTTCTTCACTATCTCCTTGATATCTTTCTCCACATACCATGCCCAGGTCTCCCAGAATTTCTCTTCCATCTTGTTTATTTCCATTACATCCGTCTCTCTTTTTCTCTTATCTCTGCAGCCTTCCCTCGACGATATTCCTCTCCCTTTCTCTCTCTTTTCCTATGTTCGCAGCAAATGCTTTGACTCGAAACAGCTCTCTTTCCACCTCTCATCCACTTGCTTATGCTGATCGGCCCGTGACTTCTTCCCGCTCTCTTCTCCTTTCTATATAGGTCTGTTCCGCTCTGCTTCTTGCTGTACCGAATCACTGCTCTTCTCTTCACCCCTGTGGTTGGAATCGCCCTCCTTACTTTCCTCGCTGGGCTGAACTTCCTTATCCTGCGTAGTACTCCCTAGCGCCTGTCTTCTCTTCCTCTCTATCTCTTTAAGAATCAGAAGGCCTCTTCCCTTCTCATCTAGTGCTTCTTTGGCTGTATAGTCAGACTTGTATTTTCCACAATACTGTACTACGTGCTGTATTCACTCTGCCTCCTTGTTACATAGCCTGAATTGTTCTTCTCTCTCTCCCATCCAGTGCTGTCTGTTTTTTTACCTTATTACCACATCTAAACCTTGCAATCATTATTTTATCCTTTGCCTCTAGGTGCGACCTTGCATGTTCGGGCATATCTTTTGATTCCGTTAGTAACTCGTTATAGAATGTATTGTATCTCGACTCCTCTATCTTTTTCCTCCTCTGTATCTTTTCTTAAGCTTCGAGGTTTCTTTCTACCTGTACGGACAGTCTGCCTTCTCTTCTAGGCTCTTCTACATCTTCGTTGCCTCTCAGAGTCCTCTCTAGCGTTTCTCTCCTCAGTTTCGCCCAGTACCCTGCTTGCGTGTGTGACCCTTCTCTCTCCTTCTCTTTGATGCATTCTTTTACTAGTTGTTTTTCTGAATTTCTCGCTTTCTCTTCGTACCTTACTGCTCTCACTGTTGCTTTGCCTCTGCAGCTCCTTTGTTTTGTCTCCTCCTGTAATATGTAATTGGGCGTGTTCCTATCCAACCTTAAAATCCACTTTGCATATCTCCTTCGGGGCCCCTCCATACCGTCTTCCTCTTTGTAGCCCCATATCTCTGCTCCAAAAAGTTCTACACTCTCTACCAATGCATCATACATCTTGTATCTTCTTCCTAGGTCTTCTCTGAAGATTCTCTCTCCAATGCTCCAGGTCTTTTTCATAGCTACCATTGCTTTTTTCTTTCTCTCTCTCAGATGTTTGACTGCCTTGCCATTCTTTCGTAAGACATAGCCTAAGTATTTAAATTCTCCCACTTCCTCTATCCGTTCATCATTTCACTTCCATATTTTACTTGCTTTTCTCTTGGATTTTTCAAACACCATTATTTTTGTCTTTTCAAGGCTTACTGTTAGGGCCTTATTCTTTGTATATATTCTGAACTGCTTCAGCATATCTCTCATGCTCTCCTCGTCTTCTGCCACTAGCACTATGTCATCTGCCTATATTATTGTTCTAACCTTCTTCTTACCTATGACTATACCTCCTACTCTTTTGCTTTCTAAAAACTCTTCTAGGTCTGCTATATATATATTAAACAGCGTTGGGCTCATTAGGCATCCTTGTCTAACACCATTTACTGTCCAGAACTCTTGTGAGATCTTGTTTCCCACTTTAACTTTGCAGCATGTTTCTTCGGTATGTTTCCTTCCTTCCATATGTTTTGTAACAACTCATAGAAAGCCTCCTCTATGGACACTGGCATCTTGCTCCACACGTCATTTTCTGTTTCGTCTTTCCCTGGTGCCTTTCTATTCTTCAAATTTCTTATCGTCCTTATTATTTCTTCCCTCGTAAAAAGTTCCTCTGTCGCGGGTCCTCCAATTCCTGTTTCTTCCTCATCTGCTAGTTTCTATGTCGTTCTTCTCTCTTTGCCTCCCAACCTTCTGGCAAAGTGTTCCTTCCAAGTATTTAAATCGATCTCTCTGCGTACCTCCTGTCTATCTCTTCTGTATTTGTGTATGTACTGCCATGCCTCCTTTTCTGTCTTTATCTGTCATATTTTGTTTAACTCTTCCGCCTTATATATTTCTTTCTTTTCTGCGCACCAACTCCCATATTCTCTCTTTCTTATCCTGTATTCTTCTTGGTTCAGCTCACCTTTTCTCAAGTTCCTCAAGGTTTTTCTCAGCATTCTCTTCTGTTGGTCCAACTTTTTGTCATGCCATGGTCTTTTCCCCAATGCCACCTGTTTTACCACCCTCTGTACTTTGGGTATGGCTTGTTCAACCTTCTCCAATATTTCTTGCATCCTGTTTTCATTGTTACTTTCTTGTGCCTTCCAGTTTTCACACTTTTTTTGATAGGTCTCTGTAAGCT